CCGCCCCCAGTTGCTGGCTGAAAGGACCAGAAGCGGAAGAGGTGAATGAGCAGGTCTGGCTGCCCAGGGCCCGCCCCCTTCGCACTGATGGTCTCTCACTGGCCTTCCTCTGCCTTCTGGGAGGGTGGGTCGGACTTGCTCTGCCATGTTCACTCGTGAGGAAAGAATACCTAAGACACTTCTCTGGACGAGTGGATGAGGGGTGGGCGGCAGCTTCCTCAGTCCCCAGCCCCCAGGCTAGAGGCCCTGCAGCCCAGCAGGCACCGGCGCACATGCCTCTCTTCTGCTCACAGTGTCCCAGACCACCCCATCTCGCAGCTCCTTAAGAAGCTCCAGTGTGCGGTGTACCGGGCACTGTACCCCGTCGTGAGCAGGGGTGCTGCAGCCGCCTCAGCCCCCAGCTGCTGCTCCCTGCCCCCGGACGCCGACGGGCTGCTGGCTCCCGGAAGCCGGCGGCTGCGGCCCTCGCAGAGCCTCTACTGCATGCTGTGTCCCCCGGAGCCCAGCCCGTCCCCACAGCTCACGGACGGCCCCCCTGCCAGTCCCTCCACACCCCCGCTCCACCCAGGCCCCCCAGACAGAGGGGCGGACAGCAGCCCTAAGGGGCCTCCCTCACCCCTGGCGGGCAAGGACAGCTCCTTTGAAGACCTGGAACAGTTCTTAGCTACTTCTGAGAGGTGGGGTCTCAGCCCTGGGGGGCAGCCTGAGCCTCAGACCCCAGGGGTGAAGGAGCCATTGCTGGAGCAGCTGAGAAGCACGGTGAAGGACATACACAACGCCATAGGTGAGGGCAGGCTGCGCTCTCGCAGGACGGGTGGGCGGGTGGGCCGGCAGCTGGGATGGGCCCCTGGAGGAGGGGCCTCTGTATGGCAGCCGGCCAGCCCTGACCTGCAGAGCCCTCCCCTCCGTGTCTGCTGGCCAAACACCCTGGTAGCAGATGGGAGCGCACCCAGACTCGCGGCTTCAGCCTTGGGAGCAGCTAGGGCAGGTCTCCCTCCACACCTGGCTGCCTTCTCACTGGGCTGCACCGGACAGTCTGGTTGGCGCAATCTTGTGTTTGGGGAACGGTCTGCTGTCAGAGCCCCTAGGGGCCAAGGGGTCCTGGCTGTCTCACTGGTTGGCCTCACCAGCCTCCTAAGGACTGTCAGATGTGTGCAGCCTGGTGACGACGAGGGGTTCATCCCCCAGCTCTTTCCATTTTGAGAAGAGTATGTGGGTTCCCTAAGGGTTGGAGCCCAGGGTGGCAGGTGACTTCCAGGTTCCTTCCAAGGGTTTTCTAAGAACCAGCACCTACCATTCTCACTGTAGGTCCCCAGCTCTATAAAAGACCTGGGGCAGGTCCCTCTCCCCTGTCAGGTTGGTCCCCCATCTCTCTGGGTCTGAGATTTCTTGTCTTCAAACATGCTTCTGAAATTTCTTTGGGTTCCCACAGTTTGGGGTACAAACACTTTTCAGAAAGAGCCCATTCTGTGCTCTCCTTCCCCGGCCCCTCAGGAGCTGTGGTGACCCCATGAGCACCCAGGGGTAAGGGTCCAGACTCCTTGCTCTGACCCTAGGCCACATGGACAGGGGTGTGTGTGTGCAGGGGAGTGAAGGGAGGGCCAGGCAGAGCCCCTTCCCCACTGGGCCAGGGTGCTAACTGTGACCCTGCCCACACTGAGCCCGGCTCTGGGTGCGGCCCGTCTGGGCATCCCAGGCTGGCCAGGGGTGACCGCCAGGGGCTGCCAGCCAGCCCCACAGTGCCACTGTGCCGGCTCTGCTCCCGGCAGACAGGCTGCTCTCGCTGACGCTCCTGGCCTTCGAAGGCCTGAACACGGCCATCTCCAAGGACCGCTGCCTGGCCTGCATCGAGGAACCTTTCTTCTCTCCACTGTGGCCCCTGCTGCTGACCCTCTACAGGTGCTCCAGTCCCCTCAGGGCCTTTCCCACTTGCACCCCTGGCCCCGCTCCATCCCTGGGGCATACCTGTGACTGCTTCTAGCTGGTGCTTTAACCAGAAGCCAGCCTTGATTCTGGGTAAATGGCCAATGTTCCCCAGCCCCGCCTCCATCCCCAGCCTGGCCTGTCTCTGCCCCAGGAGTGTGCACCGCCCCCGTGAGGCTGCCCTGAGCAGGAGCATGGAGCTGTACAGAAACGCGCCCCCGGCGGCCATCGGCATCCCCACCAAGCTGCTGCCCCAGGACCCCAAGGCCACGGGGCCCAGTGCCTACCCCTACTGCGCTGCAGCCCAGGAGCTGGGGCTGCTGGTGCTGGAGAGCTGCCCCCAGAAGAAGCTGGACTGCATTGGTGAGGGGCAGAGTTTGCAAGGAGGGAAAGGGGACCATCAGACAGCACAGGATCCTGTCCCAAAGGGTGGCCTGGGGCTGTGTGCCTTGTCTCTGAGCTGCAGGTTCTCCTCCTGTCAAGCGGGTGTCTCCCATGGGACATAAGTGGTGTGAGGGAGAGCGATGGCCTTGGGAGGGGTTGTCCACTGATGGGGGTGGGGGCCGTTGTGGGCTATCCTGGGACAGACGCCCCCGCCCCCACCCCCCTTGCTCTGTGCTGCAGTGCGTGCCCTGCGGGTCATCTGTGCCTGTGCTGAGGGCTACTACCGTGCCCAGGAGCCTGCACCTGAGGCAGGACCGCAGCCAGGCGCTGCCGCCATGTAAGTCCTGGGAGCACACGGCCTCGGGTGGGCACTGGGTACATGAGGGCTGCTCACAGGCCTGGAGGGAGAGAGAACCATACCACCTGCCCCGGGCACCAGGGCCACAGTTGGTCATCCAGGAGAGCACAGCCCGTTTCCACTCCTCTGGGTCTCTTAGGGGTCAGGGGCCCCCTGGCTAATCTGATGGAAGTTAGGCTTGCTCATCCCAGGTCACATGCTTGGTCCCTCAGGGCCTTCCCAGGTCCTTGCACACCTGGGAAGCCGCCCCAGCCCTGTGACAAGCCTGTTCCCTGCTCCAAGCCCCCAGCCCTGGGTTCTTGCCCCACCCTCCCGAGGTGGGGCAGGGGCCCACCAGGGTGCTGCAGCCTGGGGCTCTGATACCTGGTCTTGAGTCCTGCCTCAGTTTCACCTGGACCTGCCTGCAGTGAGGGTCCAGGTGCCTGCCTGGGGCTGGCATTCCTTCAGCCACCTTGTCCCAGGGACCAGAGGTCATTTTGAAAGCACCTGTCATTGCAGCCTGGTGGGTGGGCTATGACTCACACTCGTGCCCAGGGGCCTGCAGATGAGGACAGGTAGGAGTCAGAGCTGGGTGTGAGGTCCTCAGGGAGGACGTCCTCCCAAGAAGGTGAGATGACACTCCCCAGGCCCAGGGTGCGAGGCCTCAGCTGCAGGTTGGGTGGGGGTCCAGCCTGGCTCCCACAGCCCCTTCACCAGTTTACCGTTTGGTTTCCGAGTAAGCACTCCAGAACTGAAAGTGTTTCCTAGTGGCCGCAGCCCCTCACTAGCTCCCTCCTTTGGGCACCTGTCTGTGTGCCTGCAGGTGTGCGGTACCCAGGCAGGTCGGGACAAGGCCTTGAGCAGGAGCTTATGCTGTGTGAGGCCTCCCCAGTCAGACTCAAGCCAAGGCTTTGCTTCTGTGCCCTTCCCAGAGGCCACTGGCTGTGGCGTCTTTGGGTGGGGGTTCTGAGGGTCCCACAGGGCCTCACTCCCGTGAGCTCACTTAGATGCCTCTCGCAGAGGGTCTGGGGTGCCCTGCTGTGCTGAGCTGAGTGACAGCCGATCTCAGGAGGGAGCAGGCTGCCCAGGTCATGGGCCATTGCCCTCATCATTCTGACCCTCAGGATGGGGCGGGCTTGTGAGGTTGCAGTTGTCCTTGCCCCTCCACCATGGGGGCCTTCCTAGGTCCAGCCCTGGGCTCGAAGCACAGAGCTCCGATCAGGGGTGGTCTGGCTGCTCCTCGGTGGTCTGTGCGGGAAGAGCAGCCAGCAAGCCCCAGGTCGCTTCAGGGGCTGAACTGGGGGCTCTGGTTTGGGCAATTGAGCAGCCCCACTGGCCCCTGGAGCTGACCGGCCAGTGTGCCTCTGTCCAATAGCGGTGCTGATGACCTGCTCCCCATCCTGTCCTTCGTGGTGCTGAGGAGCGGGCTCCCCCAGCTGGTGTCAGAGTGCGCTGCCCTGGAGGAATTCATCCACGAGGGGTACGGCCCCAGGGGGAGCCCACGGCCCACCTCCCAGCCCCTTTGCACCACCCCTCACTCAGCACACTGCTTGAGCTGGGGGACCAAGCCCTGAGCAGCCTCTGCCTGGAGAGTGGGCTGTCCCCCCGCCCAGCATCCCTGACAGCCCCATGGGACCTCAGCATCCAGGTCCTTCCCACTGAGGGCAGATGCCCCTTCCAGAATGCCAGGGGCCTCCTCGCATGCCCTCCAGGTGACAGGCGCTGTCCCCCCACAGGTATCTGATTGGAGAGGAGGGCTACTGCCTGACGTCGCTGCAGAGCGCTCTGAGCTACGTGGAGCTGCTGCCCCAGGGAGCCCTGGGCAAGTAGTGGAGGATGGGACCCTGCAGACTGTCCAGTCAGCTGCACCGGGGGAGCTGCAGTTTCTGCCCCGACGTCTGCCCCCAGGGGCTGGAGGAGGCTGCTCTGTTCCTGACTGGATGGGGCTGAACTGCATCAGCTCCCAGGGCCAGGCCTTGCCGTTCCCTGTCCCCAGGGCAGAGAGGGGGCATGGGCCTGGCTGAGGGCAGGTCAGGTGTCTCTCCCTTCTGTCCCTTGTGACAGTCAGAACTTCCTGAGCCAGTTTCTGTCAGCCTCCTGCCCCCAGATTCCTGGGGCTCAGGTGGCTTGAGGCTGTGCTGCTTATTTATTGAACACTGACCACTCCACTCTCCCCTGGAGGCCCAGGTGTCCCCGGGGTGCCCGCCCATGTCTGGGGCCTCTGAGCCACACTCCCACCCTTGGCAGTGGGCATTGGACATCCCCTCTGGGTCAGTGTGAACCTGAGGGTCAGTGCGTGCCTGCAGCCCACTGCCTGCTCTGACCCTTTATGGCCCCGGCAGCCACTGACCTGGCTGCAAATAAAGAGATCACTGATGTCTCACTCCATGTAGCTGGCTCCTCTCTCCCTGGCCAGGTGGAGGCCTGAGCAGCACAGCCATCCCCTCTACTGACCAGGGAGAGCCAGACTCCCAGAGACCACTGAGGCCCACCACACCAGGCCTGTCCCCCAGATCCTCTGCTCAGGGAGGGGTAGCCCTGGGGCTGCACCCTCTAGGACAGGTCGCTCTTCAGGACCTAGTGGGTTGGCAGGGTCAGAGGTCAGCCCTGAGTCCCCACCCTTGTCTTCCCGCCCCCCTCCC